CCCCAAAACCCCAAAACCCCAAAACCCCACAAATATTTAAGCAAGTTGACAAAAATAATTTAATGTTCGCAAATTGAGTGGATTCTATCAAGAATCTTTTTGTATGAGGCCAGAATGAAGATCTGAGCTCTCAGAAGGCGCTAAGTCGTCGCTCAACAGCTGTCTTTAAAAAATACAAAACGGTCAGAATACTCAAAAGAGAAGAAAATAAGGATTCTTCTCTCTCTGAATCACAAGATGCTATGTTTGTTGAAAGACAAGTAGAGGAAATTAAGTCTCCTAAATTTGGATCAAGAAGGCTTGGATTGAACCTTGTACATAAAGTAGCACAGCAATCTGGAGGTATTTCGAACATTTCTCTTGATTTTTGCCCGCCTTATAGTTTATATGGCTGAAAATTTTGGATGGTTTCTGATAAGATTCTATTTTGAAAAATTACACTTTTATTACTATAAAATCTGATGGGTAATTCAAAACATAAGTTCCAAAATCAAGCCTGGCTACATGTTTGACCATGGAGAAATCTCACCTAATAATATAGAAGAATCAGTTGATATCAGCTTAGAGCCAAAAGTTGTGGCTCAAAATGAGAATGAAATCACAGATGAAACACAAGCAAAGATTATTGAATGCATGCTCAAATTACAACAGGAGAACAGAGAGCTGAAGAATTTGTGCAAGCAGACTCTTTGCAACAAGAATAGGCTGATTGAAGATAACTGCAGAAGGATCCAGTCACTTGAGTCAAAACTGGACCAGACTTTTCAGGGTAAGCATTACTTAGCTACCATCTCTGAGCTTTCTGACTAAAATCTAGCCACAGAGGACAAACAAGATGCCAGGGACATTAAAATGTGCGAGCTCTTGTTAGAAATGGAACAAAGGATTTCAGGCAGAATTGAAAGTGAGTACTTCGCATAGCCTTCCTACTCAAGTTGCGCAGTAAAACCTCTCAGCCAGATTCATGAATCCCTAGTTACGCTTCATCTTTTAAGTTTTGGCTGACCTAATCTCTTCTATCTATGTGAGGATTTAATCATACATTTCTGTAGGAGAGTCAGAAAGCAATGCAGGAATTAAATCCCTCTTGAGCAAACTTGACCACAAGAATGAGAAGAGGTTCACTAACTTAGAAGCCAAGATTAAGGGTATCCTCATTGTCTGTAAGATCTAGAAAGACAAGGACTGAGTCCAGAGATAAGTTTAGGCGCATCTTCATCTAATCGTACTACTTTTATAAAGCCGCTCAAAGGTATATATAAATTACCCTTGTCTTTCTTTGTGTTGACTCTCATGTCTATAGAAAGTAAAAGCTTACATACAAATTGTGAGCAGTTGAGCCCAGGTGAGTCTAAAGTTGTCCATTGACTTATCATTCAATAGGCAGCAACAAAATGTTCTTCAGCAAAGATTTGTTACAGAAACATCATAATCAGTCTAAAGAGGTATCTAAGAACTATGATGAGCTTGTGCCTTTCCATCCGGACTCAGAAGAGCAGGATGCAGATGTTAGAGGCCAAGTTGTGAATCCTCCTGGCTACAAAGGTATAACAGAATCAGATCTTACTCCTCCGTTGAGTTATTTCAGGTTCAGGAAGTAAGAACAAGGTTGTATGTATTATCTCTGGAATGAGTTCAACCCCTAGATATTATTCCGGGGTTTTGGGGTTTTGGGGTTTTGGGGTTTTGGGG